CACTATGAAACACGTTTTTAGGTTCAGCTGGCAACACAAATGGACAAATGGTGCCCTAGAGAAAGTAGTACCCGCGGTCCATATCACTCCGCTATTTTTCCTCGGCAAGAAATGTGCTCCGCGTTTTGAGAATATAGTTCCGTATGTTTTTGTAATTTGAAGTGGTTTCCGCGCCTAAAAAAAATGCTTAAAAGGTATTTTCTTGTTTATTAAGATCGTAGGAAGGTTTTAAAAACGTTTAAAATAAAAGTCCAGGAAGTTCAGAAATACCGAAACTATAAACATGAAATGACAGGTTAAATCGTAGTTATAATAGTCAATCAGCAGGTCCGTGAAGTTGGCGTACCCATATTAGCGTATCCACTTTTGATCATACCAATCGTTAGTTCATCGTTAGTTCTCGATAGTTCCCAAATTTTTTCGTTAGTTCTCAAAAAATAAAAAAGTTATAGCCGATTATAAGTGGGTACGCTAACTTCACACTTCCGGGTTCTAGCACGCGCCGTTATCTGAGGAGAAATGTTTACATCTATATACCAATCGTTAGTTCTTCGTTAGTCCTCGATAGTTCCCAAATTTTTTCGTTAGTTCTCAAAAAATAAAAAAGTTATGAGGCATACAAAGTGGGTACGCTAACTTCACAATTGTACAATTTCCAGCGGGAACAGTTTTTTTACTATAAATGCTTATATCTATATACCAATCGTTAGTTCTTCGTTAGTTCTCGATAGTTCTCCAAAATTAACGTTAGTTCTCAAAAAATAAAAAAGTTACGAAGCATAAAAAGTGGGTACGCCAACTTCACAATTATAGAATTTCCAGCGGGCACAGTTTTTTTTACTATAAATGCCTATATCTATATACCAATCGTTAGTTCTAGATAGTTCTCCAATATTTACGTTAGTTCTCAAAAAATAAAAAAGTTATGAGGCATACAAAGTGGGAACGCTAACTTCACAACTATACAATTTCCAGCGGGCACCGTTTTCTGACTATAAATGCTTATATCTATACACCAATCGTTAGTTCTTCGTTAGTTCTCGATAGTTCTCCAATATTTACGTTAGTTCTCAAAAAATAAAAAAGCTACGAGGCATACAAAGTGGGTACGCTAACTTCACAATTATAGAATATCCAGCGGGCACCGTTTTATGACTATAAATGCTTATATCTATATGCCAATCGTTAGTTCTTCGTTAGTTCTCGATAGTTCTCCAATATTTGCGTTAGTTCTCAAAAAATGAAAAAGTTACGAAGCATAAAAAGTGGGTACGCCTGCCAACTTCACAATTATAGAATTTCCAGCGGGCACAGTTTTTTTTACATAAAAATGCTTACATCTATATACCAATCGTTAGTTCTTTGTTAGTTCTCGATAGTTCTCCAATACTTACGTTAGTTCTAAAAAAAAAATAAAAAAGTTACGAGGCATACAAAGTGAGTACGCTGACTTCAAAATTATAAAATTTCCAGCGGGCACCGTTTTCCGACTAAAAACGCTTAAATCTATATACCAATTTTTAGTTCCATGCATTGTAATTTGATTCATCTTCACACAATGAAAATCAAAGTAACACTGACATTAGAATAACTATCACATTATGATTCTCTCGAAGAGAAAGGATTGCTTATCAGTTCCAGGATAGCGCTTATCTGTGATATTCGCAATAGTAGTTGCAGGTGTCACTCGGTTAGATTATTTTTTAGGAGTGATAATTTTGATTACTTTATCAAAATGATTAACAGTTGAATATGTTCAGTTAATTAGAACATCCAAAAAAGACAACGCTTCCAAAAATTGGTTTTAGATAAGCAATGAAATCATATTTATACCTACTTAGTTGTGTGAAAAAGTGCATTTTATAAAAAGTCCATCATGGAAACAAAATAAACTATCCATCAAAATGAAAACCAGAGTCTGCTAAGTAAAATGGTATAAAGTAATTTATAAGCAGTGATTATTTGAATTGGATTAAGCAGATAAAATATGTACGATCAAAGAACTTCTGTTTGGTTAATTAAACTAATCGTTTGTATTGTTTGTATTTGTTTGTGTTCGGTATTAGTATTATAAAATTACATCATTAAACGTAACACGTTACGAGTGACAGTTGCACGGATCGAGACTGGAGGTCATACGGACTTGAACAAACTGGAGACTGGAGTAGTGGATGGAATAAATGTGTACAACACATTACTAGCATGGCGTATTGGGTATGGCGGGGTCGAGACAATATTTATTTAGTTGTATAGTAGTATACTGTAAGCATTTTTCGTTGAATGAAGGTGCGCGCTGGAAATCAGAAGCATTAAATAAGTTTATCTATTGATTATTGGCTACACGTATATTTATTTCATTTTTTTAGAACTAACAAAATAAATGAGTGAGCCCATCTTACGATTAATATTAAGATATAGGCACTTTTAGTCAGACAAGGGTGCACGCTAGGAATGATTTGGGTTTGAGGTTGGCATAACCACGTTTAAGACCTTATTGCCTTTTTATTTTTTAAGAACTAGTATTAATATTGGGGAACTAACACGACATAACGAAGAAATAAAAATTGGTAAATAGATATAAGCGTTTTTAGTCAGAAAACGGTGCCCGCAGGAAATTTTATAAATTTGAAGTCAGCGTACTCACTTTGTACGCCTCGTAACTTTTTTATTTTTTTGAAAACTAACGTAAATATTACAGAACTATCGAGAACTAACGAAGACCTAACGATTGGTATATAGATATAGGCATTTATAGTCAGAAAAAGGTGCCCGCTGGAAATTGTATAATTGTGAAATTAGCGAACCCTCTTTGTATGCCTCGTAACTTTTTTATTTTTTGAGAACTAACGTAAATATTGGAGAACTATCGAGAACTAGAGAAGAACTAACGATTGGTATATAGATACAGGCATTTATAGTCAGTAAACAGTGCCCGCTGGAAATTGTACAATTGTGAAGTTAGCGTACCCACTTTGTATGCCTCTTAACTTTTTTATTTTTTGAGAACTAACGTAAATATTGGAGAACTATCGAGAACTAACGAAGAACTAACGATTGGTATATAGATATATGTATTTATAGTAAAAAAACTGTGCCCGCTGGAAATTCTATAATTGTGAAGTGTGCGTGCCCACTTTGTATGCCTCATAACTTTTTTATTTTTTGAGAACTAACGTAAATATTGGAGAACTATCGAGAACTAACGAAGAACTAACGATTGGTATATAGATATAGGCATTTATAGTAAAAAAACTGTGCCCGCTGGAAATTCTATAACTGTGAAGTTGGCGTACCCACTTTTTATGCTTCGTAACATTTTTATTTTTTGAGAACTAACGTTAATTTTGGAGAACTATAGAGAACTAACGAAGAACTAACGATTGGTATATAGATATAGGCATTTATAGTAAAAAAACTGTTCCCGCTGGAAATTGTACAATTGTGAAGTTAGCGTACCCACTTTGTATGCCTCTTAACTTTTTTATTTTTTGAGAACTAACGTTAATATTGGAGAACTATCGAGAACTAACGAAGAACTAACGATTGGTATATAGATATATGTATTTATAGTAAAAAAACTGTGCCCGCTGGAAATTCTATAATTGCGAAGTGTGCGTACCCACTTTGTATGCCTCATAACTTTTTTATTTTTTGAGAACTAACGTAAATATTGGAGAACTATCGAGAACTAACGAAGAACTAACGATTGGTATATAGATATAGGCATTTATAGTAAAAAAACTGTGCCCGCTGGAAATTCTATAACTGTGAAGTTGGCGTACCCACTTTTTATGCTTCGTAACTTTTTTATTTTTTGAGAACTAACGTTAATTTTTGAGAACTATCGAGAACTAACGAAGAACTAACGATTGGTATATAGATATAGGCATTTATAGTAAAAAAACTGTTCCCGCTGGAAATTGTACAATTGTGAAGTTAGCGTACCCACTTTGTATGCCTCTTAACTTTTTTATTTTTTGAGAACTAACGTTAATATTGGAGAACTATCGAGAACTAACGAAGAACTAACGATTGGTATATAGATATAGGTATTTATAGTAAAAAAACTGTGCCCGCTGGAAATTCTATAAGTGTGAAGTTGGCGTACCCACTTTTTATGCTTCGTAACTTTTTTATTTTTTGAGAACTAACGTTAATTTTGGAGAACTATCGAGAACTAACGAAGAACTAACGATTGGTATATAGATATAGGCATTTATAGTAAAAAAACTGTTCCCGCTGGAAATTGTACAATTGTGAAGTTAGCGTACCCACTTTGTATGCCTCATAACTTTTTTATTTTTTGAGAACTAACGAAAAAATTTGGGAACTATCGAGGACTAACGAAGAACTAACGATTGGTATATAGATGTAAACATTTCTCCTCAGAAAACGGCGCGTGCTAGGACCCGGAAGTGTGAAGTTAGCGTACCCACTTATAATCGGCTATAACTTTTTTATTTTTTGAGAACTAACGAAAAAATTTGGGAACTATCGAGAACTAACGATGAACTAACGATTGGTATGATCAAAAGTGGATACGCTAATATGGGTACGCCAACTTCTTGGACCTTAGCTGCTCATAGTATAATTATCTTTAAGTGTTGCCAACCTATTTCCAAGCGTACACGGATTACGTGCATAATGGAACCACGCTGTTTTGTGTTGTTTCGTTGGAATCCTGATGTGCGGCAAAGTATAAACCGTACGGCAAAGTATAAACCGTACGGCAAAGTATAAATATGCAGCAATTAGCAGCTTTCTGTACTATAAACAGTACAAGGAAGCCAACTTTGTCGGGTGACTGTAGGAAAAATAATATATATATACTCCTGCCATCTGCTTACACCATGATCTGTTACTGTTCTACAGTAGTTCTAGTGTTTCTGTTCTCGTCTTATTCCTCTTTCCCTCTCCTATCTCCTCCTCTATCATCGTAAATTCTCTCTCAACAATCGCTTCGCTTCTCGCATCTTCTCCTTCTCCTCACTCTCACTCATAATCTCACAAAAAAATATAACCTAACTCAAAAACTCAACCTCAAAGAAAATTTGAGTTGAGTTTTCTGAAGATAATAATCATTCAATTAATTAACGAATTAACCCAGTGAAGTGTTATTTAAAACGAAACTGCTCCAAATGTAGATAATAATCATTCAAAAGTTTTAGTGTGCAATGCATGTTCAACAAACGTAGAATCATTATTTTTTGAGCACCGAGTAAGGCAGGCCTAGCCCTAGCCCTATTTGTCTATGGATGAAAATAGTGATAAACCTACGGCTTCGGCCCTCAAAGACAAAATATCCTACAATATGAAAGGTAACAATCATTGCCTTAAGTACTACCCTAAAAGAACAACAATGGATGAAACCTTCTATTAAAGTTTCACGGTTTCTATGATAAACTTAGCCTAACTTAAAATAGGCTAGGCAAATGCTAACCTCTTTAATTATTTTTGGTTTAGGCCCAAAGATTTATCTGGCCATTCAGTATTAAACAATAGCATATGCTAATGTAGCCTATTTCACATTAAATTTACATTATTCAAATAAACTAATTTTGAGTTCGTCTTGACTGACATCATGTGGCATCAATTATTAGACTATATTCGGCTAGACGGTACCTAGGCCTATGCCTAACATCATAATTGCACATACTTTCTCCCATTAGCTTGTCAACCAGGGGCGGCTCCAGGAATAATTTTTTGGGTAGGCCAGACAAGGATCAAGAAATTGAGTTTGATCTGGGGACGAGAGGTTTGAAGAGCTTACCCGCTAAAAGGGGGGAGTTTTCAAATTAAAATGCAAAATAATTAGCCTAGTTTGAATGCTTTCCCTTTATTTGAATAATTAAGTTAAATTTCTTTATTTATTTACTTAGGCCCATAATTTTGAAATATCTACCAAAATATTATAATGTTATATGTGCTCTGGAGCCGCCCCTGTTGTCAACAACTTATAACGGGATTTTTAAGTGTTGGAAGTAGGCTTTGAATTTAGATATTTTAATGGGAAAATCACCAAAATTGCAATGCCTTCCGAACCATAATTTTTACAGCATTAAGTTAAGGGTTGTACCATTTTGTTTAGAGTTAAAATAACCATAAGTTAAGTTATACTTAAAATAACTTAGGCCTAAGTTACTTAAATTTCAATCAAAATTGTTAAATACAAATAAGTGAAAATCAGATTTGATGAGAAAACCACCAATGAAATTCTAAAAACGCCTGGAGATAGGCCTCGATTAATTTAATACCCACAGGTGTGGCCTGTGACTCTGTACACATATACTGACATTCTTCAAAAATCCCTTTTTTGATTTCAGAGGGTCCCAAAACGAATTAGTTAGGCTATCCACCCAAAACTCATAAACTGTAAAATTTTGATACAAACAATAGGTACTTTCTCGATTCACTAAGTAATGAAAAAACGATCAAAATTGTAAGGACCATAACATAGGGTAAGCGGGGGGAATTGGGAGGTATGTTTTACAAATGTATCTGGTTAGGCCACTTTTCCTATTTTTGTTGTTAAATGCCTACTTAATTAATTTTATAATACAAAAAGCTATATTTTTCATGTTTTATTTTTTTCCCGCAATTCCCCAAAAAAATTAAAAAAATTTAAATGTGTTTTACCACCCAATTACCCCCATGGGGGTAATTGGGTGGTAGGTCAACAATCCATAAACACTAAATGCTAATTAAAGTTGGGAAATTGGGTGTTATAAAAGAAACTAAAAGCAACATTTTTAACTAGGTTTAATAAAAAACAAACAAAATTTACCATAAATTTTGTTGTGACAAACATATTTTTCCTAAACTACGCACATAAAAAAAAATCTTTAACCACAATTAAATATTATGGCCTACAGTTTTTAAATTCATAATATAAAGAGTACATTAATAATATTAACAGGAAAATAGGGACAAATGTTTCTCTAATAAGGTTTAAATTATGTAATATGGTCTCGAAACTTTACAAAATGAGGCACGATTTTCCAGTCCTTCGCACGATTTAAAACAAGGGAGGCTGTATAAACTAATGTACTGTAGGCCTAATGCACTAGTTTACTACATCAGCTCAGTCGCTACTGCAGTCTTTATGCCTATTTAAGTAACTATAATACAATTTTGTGACTTTTTTAGGTCTTCTGGGTTCAGTCCAATGTGACGTGAACTCACGGGTAATGGGTGGTATAGGGTTAATGGTATTGGTATAGGGGTAATTGGGTGGTAGTGGTGAAATACCAAAACAAAAACTCTAGTGTGAATTATATTCACAAAATATTATTATTATTGCCTTTTTTAATTAAATTAAGCCAAGGAAACAGTATTAGCTCAGTTTTAAAATTTACCACCCAATTTCCCGTAAGGGGGTAATTGGGTGGTAACATTTTTGAAAAAAAAAAAAAAAAATAGAAGTAGTTTTATTATGAAAATAAGTATTGGGCATGTCCTTTGGTATATTTTTATTCATTTTATGGTGAAAAATAATGTAATTTCACATGTATGAAAATTTTAATGCATTTTATATGAAAGATTGAAAAAGTTTGCATAGCCTACCACTTTTAGAATCGCGAAATGACAAGGGTCCCTAAAACTATTTCCCTCCTTTAAATGTTTAAAGGTACAAATCTGAAAAGGTTATGGCTTATTCTTGAAGAGATTGGCTGTCCATACATGCCATGTTAAATGTTAAAATATCAATAATTAAAAAATATAAAAATTGTTAAAAATTTTACCACCCAATTACCCTGCCCACCCAATTTCCCCCGCTTACCCTACTATGTTAAATCAAAACCGGATTTTTTCTAAAATCCTATTTTTTGTTATTTTATGGTTTTTTTTTATGGGAAAATAACATAATTTTCAATAACTTTTGAACCGTAATTTTTACAGAAATGGGATTTGTACCATTTTGTTAAGAATTTAAAGGGCTACAACATACTAAATTTTTATCAAAATCGTTTGGGCCATTTTTGAGAAAATCTGATTTTTCCGGTTTTTTATGGGTTTTTATCGGAAAATCACCATTAAAAATCAAAATTTCAAAAAAATGCCTGGAGATACCATGGATTAGAACCTACATACCAAATTTCATCGAAATCGGACCACAGGTGTAGTCCCTAGCTCTGTACACATCCAGACACACAGATGACACCCACACAGACATCACATCGAAAACCACTTTTTTGGGTCCAGTGGGACCCAAAACGGATATAGGCTTTCCACTCAAAACTCAAACTCAAAAATTTTGACGAAAACAATACTTTCTCCATATACTATGGTATAGGGGAAGAAAGTAAAAAGAACAAAACCATGCAAAATTAGGCAAATCAAACCATGTAGGTAGCTAAACAACCATGTGCAAAACATAACCTAAGCAGGCAAATCAAAAATTTCAGTTTGATCTTAAAAAGCGTTATCTCTCTATCTATCATAAGGACGTTTCCTTTCTTCATGAAAAGCTCTCGTTTAGCATATAAATAAATAAACACACAATACAAACATGTAAAAACATTTATGGTTGGTAACTAATCAGTTATAACAGACGCTAACCTGGTGGAGTTTCACTGCAATCCGGAGGCTACAATCTACAAGGAATAGATTTATATTTCCTCAGTTTCACCTAGAAAAATAGGACTAGGCCTAACTATGTGCTGACCTGTAGCTTAGGGAGATATGTCAAAATCCTTCTAAAAAAAAAATGAATTTTTGTGATTGTTGCAGTGTTCTGATTTGTATTAATTTTTACCATTTGCTGCTAGCCTATCAATTTTTAATCTTAACTGGTTTCCAGCTGGTCTGTTCCTGACATCGGTGGCTGGCGCTGCAGGTTGTGCCGCCTTTGGAGCTACTCTAATGTCAGCCAGGAGAGAGGATCCTTCCAGTTTTAATAAGGGGATGATCAGCACGAGAGAGCTGCCAGAATCAGGAGTGCAATTGGCCGCGAGAGCTCTCAAATGGGGCTCTGTCTACGCTGTGTGTGGGGTCAGTGCTACATGCGCTGGGATATGGCTCCTCTCTGGTGCCAAGAATGTAAGGTTTAGTTTATTTTCAATTCAATGACTTATTATGACAGTAGACTCCCTCTTATCCGGACACCTTTTAACCGGACATTGGCTTAACAGGACTACACTCGGCGGAAATGACATCTCTTTAACCGGTAAATTTTTATCAGCACATCGGTTTAACCGGACTAAATCGGCAGGAAGTGGGTGGTACTGAAACGACTGTTCTCGTGGGAAAGATTTGAGACCAGTGATCACGTGTCTAAATACAGTGCTCTCCTAAATTTAAGTAAAATATTGAGTTACATATTGAGTTTTTGGGGACGTCGGTTTAACCGGAAAACCCGTTATCCGGACTGGCCTCGGTCCCGAGAAGTCCGGATAGGAGGGAGTCTACTGTACTTAAATAGCTTATAGCTTACTGAACCCGCTCAGAGGTTTCCTATTTTGCCGAGAAGTCAGAATATGCTTGTTCGAGATTAGTTGATTAGATGATTAGAATACCGGTACTCAATACGATACCTGCCTTTCCATCCCTGTCCTAAGCTACCTACCTTAAAGTATAAAGTATTAAAGTACTACCTTTATTGTAGATAAAACTGTCCTACCAATTTTCCTAGTGATGGATGAAATATTACTGATGAAAGAATTGAATATACTTTAATGAAGCAAACGGTGTATTTCTAAACTCCTTTTAACACATTCGCTGCTGAGCGCTAGATGCCGGGACAGCGCCAGGAGCTGAACTAGCGCTCGCCGCTGCATAACATTGCCGCTGATACACTGAATTGCAGTAAAAACAACAGTAGTTATACTGGATAGCAATGTTCTGCAATAAAACTGGCTTTGGACATAGTACCAAGCAATTCTGATGGATAGCCAGCACTACCCAGGTTGCAGTCGGTAAAGTAGTGTCGCTATCTAGCAGGATGGAAAGAGGTGGGACAAAGCCCTGTTCTATACGACCCTGGTGGTGATTTTGGGAAACTATATTTTTTATTGTCAGAAAAGTCCCTTACGAACTGCATAGAAATATAGGACGCTCGTGACGAGCTGGCTGATCCATCGAAACGTTAAACTACAATGAATGGTAACGTTCCAGATGGCCCCTCTGACTTTCCGGAACGTCCGTAGCAGCGAACGTGTTAAAGGTATTTATACTCTAAAACCCTTCTGTTTAAGGAGGATGGGTATGTACGTTGAACCTTTGTGTAGCAGACACCCTTGATACTAATACTGATACTGATGATACCTGGGGGGAATATTACACTGTGACCTGAAGGATCTATTGTGTCCCCCAAACTAGTCCCTAGTCTTTGACTAGAGAACCCCCTCCAGTCCTAACTCCTTAATGAAGTTAAGCACCAGGTGGGGTTCTAACTGCAGAAAATCTCCAACTGCTACTTGGTGTATGCCCAAGCTCTTGGCTCTCTTTTGCCCAACCGCATCACATTCAGCCAATGGGTCTTGACAGAATCGGCAGTCACTTTCCTGTTCGATGTTCATTTTTTTCATATGACCTCTAAGCCTACAATGTCCAGTTAGAAAACCTATTAACATTCTCAATCAGTTCTTATTCAGCCTGATCATAGTCTCAGACCTTCTTGTGTCGTATCCTCCAAGCAATTCCTTAGCTTGCCGACATCCTGGACGAGGAGTCCAGCCTTAAGCTCTGGTTACATTTTCATCTTCCTTTCGAGCTTCTTTTTGAAGAACGAGTATTCGAGTGCACATCCTGGATCTGGCCCTATGAGGGGGGTAGCTGCATCACAAGCTGATCTGCTTCCTGATTTCTCTGAATACCCTGATGTCCGGGTACCAACAGGAGTAATAACTTTTTGTTCTTTCCCAATAGGTTCAGACTTTACCAGCAATTCCATACCATCTTAGAGCTGATAACTGATGAGCTCAGCGCTCCAATGGCAGCCTGGCTATCTGACAGGAAAACAATTTTCCTTTTCTTGTACATCCTTTACTCAGGTTGAATTGAGCACTCATTTCAATAGCCTTAACCTCAGCCTGAAAAATGCTGAGGGAGTGCTCAACAACTCATGGTATTTGTTTCTTGGCCCAAATACTCCCTCATTCGTCTTTGAGCCAGCTGTAGGCTATACAATTTACCTGATCATGATTCCAAAATGATTTAGGGGTTTTCCATTCCAACCAAGTTTATTCCCTAGCTCAACAACAAAGTTCTTTATGAAGTTGTACTTCCTTACCCTAGAATCCCTTGGAAGGTACATCAGATCCCTTAGACCTGGCGGGAATGACTCACTGCAAACCAAGGAGGACATGTTCGTGCCATTCCTCTCCATTCTAAGTAGAGTCTCCCTTGCTATTCTCTCTACCATAATGTGTAGAGGTGTCAGATTCAAAATCACTTCTATGGCTGCAGATGGGTAGGATCTCATATCTCCTGTGATGATAATGCAGTTCAACCTCTGTACTCTCTCCAGGGCTATCCTTGTTGTTTTGTTTTTGTTGAACCCTGGTCCTGCCAGCCCAAGCTACACACCAGAAGCTTTAACTGTAAAATAAGCTTGGAGCTAGTACTGTTGAAAATAGTGATATTTTTAAAGCTATTTCAAAGAAAGCAAAAGCCATAGTTAATTTCAAATGAGTCATTTAGCAAGTGACAAAGTAAGGTAGAATTGCCAAGATTGAAAGTAATAAAAGACATATCCATAAGGTGGAACTCAACCTTTGTTAAAGATCCAGAGACTATTAACATTGAGTATACACGTACTAGAGTAGCCACTCAATGGAGGTTATTATTACCTGAACAGCGCTGTTGCAGAGTAGCGTTAGCGGCCCAAACTACGTCGCCAAAATCGGAACAACTAATATTATTATGTGACAACTCTTATATGTGTACACTCAATGTTATTAGCGAAGCATTCAGCATGCAATTAAATATCTAATCCCAGAGACTGATGTTGAAAGTTTGTTAAAAATGAGTTGATACAAATATTATACTGGTGTTTAAGGAAGCGAAACAAAAAAAACGAAGCAAAAGCAACTGATACAAAATTCATGCCGTGAACTATAGGCCTAACTGCTACTGTAACTGATATGATTAAAAGAACTAGAATTTAATTTGAAAAATGTAATTAGTGGAAACAGCAACTGAACATGATGATGAGCCTCTGATAAACTTAGTAAGGAAAAAAATATGTTTACTTGCTCTCAGTACCGCGTTTTTAAATGGGCCCAGGGACGTACGAGTTTTTTGTTTTCTAGGGGGCGCAAGCAACAGAAAATATTTTAAATCGCGCAACTGTAGAATCCTCCTTACTCTCGGTTCCCACTCATGACTCATCACTGCCACTGCTTGCGCAAGGAATCGCTGCCAAGGATATACGTTGGTCGCTACATGTTCCGCCTTATCTTTATTTGTAATTAATTTGTAATGTCATTTTTTCATTGCTCACCAATGTCAGTTCTCTTTGTTGAATTGGATGAGAAACATATTTTAGTAGGCTATTGATCAAAAGCTATTGTAGTTTTTTCACTTATTCTATTTATGTTCGACAAGATACTTTATTTTAATATCTCATGCCTTTTTTGTGAAAGGAGCAATAAGCCAAGGGGCAGTGAGTTTAAAAAGTGCCGTAAAAAATTTGAAAATACCAGTCGTGTAAAGTGTTGTGTGTCTAGGGTTTTAAATGTTTGTAGTTCTAGTTACATCTAAAAAAAAAAAAAAATTTTTGAATTCTCAATTTTTTATAACTTAATCCATTTTACTTTTAAAACCGTATCGTTAGAAATATAAATGTGTATGTAAGGGGCTCAACTACCTCTCGAGCCCATAGCGTGTCACATACTATAGTGGAATAGATTACAGAATAGGACTGGCCTTTGAAGAGGTAGGGGATGCGACGTTGCCACTTCGTTCTTGGCCGGTGAGCTGACTTTCACCTAAGTTAGAGCCCGGCACCCCCCTCTATCGTCCCACTTGTAGGGTAAGTCAGTTCAACACTACAAAATAATAATGTATTTGTTCTTGGTGGTATTGGTTAGTATTGTTATAATTTTATATAGTATGGAACACAAAATTCATCCCATACATTATTATGGTTTGGTTTGATTATTTGCTACACAATTGTCTTTAAAATGGCTCAAACGGCTACCAGATGCAGTTGTTGAAAAATGTATAAACATAAAATTAATAAATTTAACAGTAAATTTATATGACCAAACAATTTGTATAGCAGTTCTAAAAATCTTCTAAAATATTGCTCAGCTTATTGTTTGATACATGAAACAAAATTAACATCGAAATGAAGAGGATACAATCTACCATATTAATTATTCATTTGAGATGTGGACGCCACCTATGAGCGTATTTTAACCTAAATATGAGTTAAGGATGAGTGTAGAATGGAGTGAGATGCCTTTTGTAGCTTTGTTACTCGGCTGTTTCGAATTATAAGCACACTTTAAGGCAATTTCTTGACCAAACAGGAGGATATGCTCGAAACGCACAGGTCGGCTGTCGGGCAAAGACCGAGTGCGTGGCACAACTTGGCAACAGTGGACAGTTTTCTGAAAGCTTATTGAATACCGCTTGCCCTCACCCCAGCCGACTCGAACTGGTTCCGGTCCTATTCTCTAATCTATTCCACTATAACTTCGGGCCTGCCCAACTTTGGAACAGGGTGAATACGAGAGTGTCCCAAAGAAATAAAAGTAAAGTATTTCTTTGCCAGTTGTTGGTTCATACTCTTTGGCAGGGTGAGGCAAAGGCATTATCTTGAGTAACTTATCCCCAAAAGGTGGGGAAATCCCTTACCGTTTGTGCTTTTTACAAACAAGTAATATTTCATATTTTTGTATTCAATCTTTTTTACATTAGTATTGTTTGATATGACATTTTAAGTGCTAAATAAAAGTGTTTGTCACATTTTTATCTTAATATCAAGACTATATCTAATATCTTTATATCCTTTATTTTTGTTTTATTTTCACCTATAGAACCTCCTTAATTCTTTGTACTTACTTGCGGGTCACTCTGTATAGTCAATGCCTGTATTCAATTAATATGTGGGATCTAACTCTTTCATACAAATTGTAATATTTTATTCTGTTTATCTCCAGATGGCTGAGTTCAGAGATAAAATGGGATCAATTCTTCCGAGAATCCCAAAAAATAATCCCCCTCAGAGCAGAACAGAGTTTGAAGGACTGACGGATTTAATGAATTACATTATTCACGATTATTCGGGGGGGAAATTGCCAAAGAATAAAGATGGGTAAATAACTTAGCATTATGTTTTAAACACTTGTTATGTTGTTTATTTTTTGTAAATAGTCTTTTGTTGAAAATAAAAAGTTATCTCTGTTGTTATTTCCTATAATATTATGTTATGGTTTCATCTTCATCCCATGGTTGTGTCAGAAATGTATATTATACTAGAGAGTTATTATACAAGACAGGAAGACTTAAAGAAACTTTTAAACCCCATCAATAGTTATGTAAAAGATGAAGTAATATAAGTATTAGTATTATATTACTTCATCAATGGTTATAGTACGATACTCGCATTTAAATACATTCAAAGGTCTAAAGGTTCTGAAAAGGATTGGTCCAGTTTCCATTAAAATTGTTTTTGCGCTTTTGCTTTCTAACGAAAGGTGGATACAACTTCACCTGAAGTATTTCTTCAGTGATGGCTAGTTAATGACGTTGATGTGCCTCAATTTTTTGCGTACACCACAACATTTTTATTGGAACAGTTATTGTGACCATAATTATGACTGTTAACTTATATTATAAGGCCTTACTCACAAGACATGATTTGAATAGCAAATCACATTTCTGTCTTTTAATTAAATTGATCCCTAAAGCTCTTTGATTGAGTATATTGAACAATTATTTTCTCTTACATACATAATGACATGTGTTGTAATAGTGGTGAATTAATGAAGTATTCAATGATTAATTGTGTCTGCATCCTAAATTCTTCAACATCATGGCTGAATATGTCAACCTGTGGTGTGGAACAAGTAACCACCATTAATATCTGATTGTGGTAACAAATCAGATGCAAAGACTGCCATTACGGATGTCTAATACTTAAACCTATAAATAATCAACTTTACCAAAACCTACTCACCTCTCACCCAAGGTAGCAAAAAAACCAGAAAGAAGTTCTGCATAAAACAGAAAGAAGTGACTCTAGATCTATTTTGTTTATAATAATTTTATAGGATTTCTAAAAAAAATACAAGATTCTACTCTAGTCAAAGGACTTTCAAAACTTATTGTTTTGAAAACTATATATATCGCCTGATTCAAAGTAATTTCTTATAAAAACATAATAGTTATATACCAACTGTTTCATGTTTTGGGAGTCAAAAATGAGAAAACCCAAATTTTACCCCATAAAACCCCTTTCCCATGGTCTGATCATGCTGGTTTGCGAACTCATTCAAGTTGATCCCGCCCAACATCTTCAAGCCAAATTTAATGAAAATCGGAAAAAAATAACTCAATTTATCGAATTCATGGACTATATAATCCTGTTTTTAATTATATATACAGGGTGCGGCAAAAAAACCGATCTATTTTCTTCAGCTCACTGTTCAGCGACAGGCCGTCTGAGGGTTTTGGGAGTAGGCTCGTTGGATAGCCTATACGATGCCATTTATTGTAATCATATAGAGCAGTGGTTGTATGAGCTACGTGCGGTTGCTATCTAGTCGTTTTTAAAAAGTAGTAAATCAGTCATTGCAACTCAGTGGCAGTTCGATGCTTTTATTTATTAAGTCGACATGGAGAGGTTCCTCGTGATTATCTGTATGGATAACACAATTAACAGTTAATTATTCTAATTAATCTGTAGGGATGAAAATTGACCTCAAAATTTGTGTAGCTGAGCAATCAGGCATGTTCGGCAAGCCGCTTGTTTTCGGGTGCAATGAATTAATTCAATACTTTTTTAAAACAACTCCATAACAATCGCACGTAGCTCAGGCAACCACTGCTCTATGACTACAAAAATTGGCATTGTGTAGGCTTTCCAATGAGCCTACTCCCACCACTCTCAGACGACCTGTCGCTGAACAGTGCTCTGCAGAAAATGGATCGGTTTTTTTTGCCGCACCCTGTATATATATATAACTATATACAAATTTAAACGAATAGTGTTTTTGGCCCAGGGGCGTCACACAAAAAAATATTGGGGGAGACACTTTGAATTTCCCAACTATATTGCATGAATTTCCCAACTGTATTACTAGAATTTCCCAAATACATTAATCAGATTTTCCAACTAACTAAGTTTTAATAGCATGAAGGCTATTTTACCTTTAAAGTATCTTTATAGCTGACATACACAAATAACAAGAAATGAAGGGACGTAGGACAACATGACGTAGGAACCTGCTTGGGACCGTGCCGGGTCGCCGGAAGACTGTCCCTTGGACAACCTAAATGTGCCTGCCTTCTTTCTTATTTAATTGAACTAACATATTTTTTATTAATTATTTCTGATTTGTAAATATTGTCCAGCTTTGTTAAATATACTTCAAGTCCATTAATTGTCTTTTAGTCTTGTCTTTGAAATTTTAACATAATTGTCCGGGGGACAGTCTTCCGCGACCCGGCACGGTACCAAGGGTATCGTGCTACCTAGGGTAATGGCACTTCCTACAAATAAATTCGCTAAAATTACCAAAAGTTATTTAAATAACTAACCTCTTACATGGGCTCTACACTTAAACGTATTTTACCTAGGAAAACACTTAGAAAATGTATGACAACTAATTCATGCGTGTTTAATTAAAACTAATGATTTCCAAGAACATTTAATTGTAGCACGATCTTACAACAAGCTCGGCCTATCAAATCAGCTGAATTATTGTTGACATGCAAAACAAAAATATCAGCTGGTTGTTGTTAAGCAAGGCATCAGCAAAAAATATCTGCTGATGTGAAGGCTGAAGGCTATCATGGTTTTTCACTCATATGTCAAGCATCATAGGTTATCACATCTAACAATAGTACCTTTCCAATTATAACTATCATCAAATTACTTTCTGAATATGTATCACTAATTAAAATGTGAACAACTTAACTTAATTGACCAATCATTAACTTTTGAAGATGATTTCGTTAGATTTGTGTTCAGACTTAGTTTTTTACGATTTACTGGATACCAATGTTACGATAAAATAAAAGGTTTAGTAATTAATTGTAAACAAGTTAAAATAGCATTAAAAATTACATTTTTCTGTTTCCCCATTAAATCTATAATTTCTATGTTGTTTATTAATAAATTAAATTGGTCTGTCCTTGGTTTAGGTTCATTTGTGTTGCAACAGATTTATCCGATGTTGAAATCGGTGCATTCAAATAATAACTTCCTCTCCAACATCCGGACAGTAGTTGTGCGTTGTTGATCAACGATATGATTAATGTGTTATCAAGATAATAATGACCTTATCCATGGAAATTGTATGAAAATATGACAGCAACCGGTGCGTAACATGTGATATATGTGACACTATTCCAACAAATAAATTACTCTTCTTCAGGGTTCAATAACGAAATTTGTGTAAGGAAGATGTCAGAAAGCAACTGTAGTATATTCCAAATCGAGAAAATACAAGGTCACCTAATGGTTCATCAAAATGTGTTTAGATCTAATTATTGTTTGGGGTTTTTGTGTCATTATTGTGGGGGATTATTAGGAAACTGCTGAACCGGAATTGAGGAAGATACCCTCAAGCACCGAGGGAACTAAACCACTTTCAAAAGCAACTTAGGCGTTGTGAGAACGCCATTAGAAAATTCTGCAGTTCATTCTTACAAAGCACCCGAAGTGTGTTTAAGCCAGATATAAATTTTTAAAAACATGAAAAACGTTTTTATGCCAGATATAAATTATTTACAACATTTGAAGGTAATCGTCGAAGCCGTTTTTGAGCTCTTTGTGCAAGCATTCAAGCAAATATTGCTCATATAAGAATATAGGAGATAGGATAGGATATAGTATAGGATTCCATTTTAGAAAATTTCCCTATAGGGAAGTAGCTATTACCGTAGGTGGCACGGCAACGGCAAGACCTAGATCCGGGACCGATTTACTTTTACATTTTGATGTCCCCAGAGTTAAACCATTGATTATTGGTTGTTGTAAACAGTCAATGGTTAAACCTAATGTTATTTAAATAGATTCAATTGAAAATCAGTTCGGACAAATGGAAATTTGCTTAGTCGGCAGGTTTGCTGCGGTGGGGGTATTATATTCACTATTCGTCCCATGGTGGAAGGAAAAAACACTTTTTTTTTTCCTTCCACCATGTATTTGCCCTGTAGCACAATTTCCTAAAATACGAACGCGAAAATAAGTACGTCAATGCATTTCTGCTCAATTATCAGTTGATTGTTGATAAGAAAGACGTCAGAAAAATATCTGCAAATACAAAGGCTATCAGCTGGTTTTTCATCGATATTTTAGGTATCAAGAGTATAATAATATCTGACAACGAAACTGTTCGTTCCACCATTTATAACAAACTATCGATTGTTGTCCCTTAAAAATACCGTCCATCAAAAAAGGCAAGGGAAACACGTTATTGCAGGTAGGTATATCAAATAATAAATAATCAACACAACTATGGCAACTGATATGAAAGCCATAAGACACATCAAAGGTATCATAAGGTGCCATAAGATATCATACAGTTTTTTGGATAATTATTAACCGATACAGTGTTGACCGATTCCCCTCAATCGGATCACCAAATTGTTGACATATAATATATTTTAAATTCAATAAAGGCAGCTTAACTTCACCTTGGCATAGCATAAAAAAATATTTTGCAATGATCAATGATCAATGATCAAGCTTTTAATAGAGGTTTTATCACTCGTAACACTCGTACATTTCTCAACGCGCTGTCCTTCAATCTAAAAGCTTTGTACATACTTTTTGTTCACAAGCACCACTGACACAATTCTGCTAAGCAAACATACAGAGGTCGTAGTGGTTTTAGAGCTGCGCTTTTCTTAAAAGGAACGACCTTCCGAAGGTCATGTATACACACGGTAAGGTCACGGCGCCTTGCAAGCTAGTTTTACTGGCTAACAGAAGCAATAAGAGCAGCAACTGGCCTTGGGAGGTTAACAGCAGGTTCCATTTGATGTGATTACGTCATCTGCTGATTCAGCCACATAGTGGCGTAGGCGTTGTGCTATCCAACGATTATGAGTCTGGTTTGGTTAGGTTCACGATCACGAGCATTATATATAGTCATAGATTAAGTTTTTTTGTACTAAACAGTTTACACCATTGTCATCTTGAGTATGGACCTTAAAATAATTTAAAAAAAACATATACA